AGAGGAGGTGAGGAAGAAAATCGAGCCGTTATCATGATAAAAAAGACTCACATTTGGCCAATAGGCCGGCTGACCTTCTTCCACCCTGTGACTGTATTTTTTTTATTTTTTAATAAGGATAATTGTTAAAAAATTAGTGAGTTAATTGTTAACAATTATTTCTTAGATCGAGTGAACATTTCATTGAAGCACGCACTCATCAGGTAGTTTTTTTATAGAGTTTACGACGATGATAAAATTCAAAATTCCAACCACCTCACTTAAATACTTAAAGTTTGGAGTCGAACTATCAGAACACAAAACCCAATTTCCTGAAACCGTATTCAATGGAGGTCCATGTTGTAAATTAGACTTATAGAGAAGTACCTCCCTCTTTGATTTGTTTCTCTCTTTTATTATTATTATTATTATTTATTTTTATTTTTTATAAAAAGAAAATTTTGGCATTGCAATGTCCCTATATATTATTTTTTATGATGAGACCAATGGTACTTAATTGAGATTTTGTATAGTATTCCTATTATACAATCAGGTATAATGAGGCTTAACAAAAAAAATGTAATATGCACTCCTATTATATAATAAGGTATAATGGTGCTTAACAAAATAAATGTGATATGCATTCCTATTATACAATTATGGTATAATGGTTTATGATAAAAAAAAAAATAAAACACTTTACTTGAATAGGAGGGGTATGTGATAGACATTCTTATTGTACAACAAGGTACGGTAGTATTTGAGTTAAAAATTCTTATATACATGTCTCTACATGTATGGAAAGAAAATGGTGGTTCACTAATTCAATTTGATATCAAAATTGTGGTACCATGAATTGAGAATTTGAAGAATGTGAATGCGAATTTTATGAGCTAGTAGACATGTGGGTTGATGTGAAAAAGTGAGAAAAAGAATGAGTTAAATCTCTTATATACATAGTCCAAGGTCTAGTGCTCATCGAGGGGAATGAGATTCAAGCCCAATAATGTAGTACTTCCTATGAGAATAGCCAACTTGAATTTTGAGAATTGGGATTTGAATGAGAAAAACGAATTGTAGAGAAGTCATTGAAAGATGCATCAATATTTAATGGAAAAAATTTCCAATCCCATTCCTAAGGTGAGGATGCATCTATCCCATAACGAATTAAGGGTTGAGTTTTATACTCTTAATGAAATTTGTAGCTCATTGAGTGGGGTGTCTTAGTTATGGGAGCACTCTTGACAAATTTCACCTATGTGGGTGTCGAAGTAAGGTTGTTTCTATGAAAGTTGAATGGGCAATTTTCTAGATCACCCATGAAAATCGAGATCATGTGCAAGGCCATAATGTGCCAGTATTGTGAAAAACTCAACATTCGAATCATTATGTATGTGATACGATTCTTACATCTTCCAATGGGATCATAGTTCAAGACATAGTTTATTATTGACTTTGAATTAATAATTGTTTACTCACTAAGTAAAGGTTCAAGGCTTAGCTGCCTGTATTATGCATAATAATCCATTTTTGCCCAAAAGAAAGTTTTATTTTTTATTAAAATAGTAGGGGAATTGTTGTAACTTAAATATTTTAATAAAAAAATATTTTATAAATTGAATTTATTGTCTCATTAAGGACTTGGTCAAATTAGCTATTGTAGGTTAATTGTCTTATTTAAGGGCACATTATTACATAATAATTGCCTAATTTATTCTTATCATTAACATACAAATGAGAGTTACATGACCATGAGTCCTATAAATAGAACATGTCTTTTTGCTCAACTAGAGGAAGTTCCTCCATATTCTTTTACTTTCTTACCTTACTTTATCTTCAAAATATTTTTGGGCAAAGAAAGATGTTTTGAGTTAGGTGACTCTATGAGTAGTGTAGGTTCATAGAATGTTATAATAAGGCTGTAGAATCCTCGGGGTGGCATGCTAAATATATTTCTGCTGCATCGATTGATCTGCATTCCATAGATGCGTGAATTACCTTTAAGTAAGTAAGTTTTTCATGTCTATTTTGTTGATATTTCCTTATCAATATTTCTTGACAAGTTCACTAATTAATATTTTATTTGATCTTGTGATTAAGGCACGACAATGACATGATGTGAAATGGAGAAAAGTGTAAGAGGAACAACAATAACAAGCAAATAATAATAAATTTAATAAAATTAAAATCTATACTATATTTATATATTTAATAATTATAATTTAATATTTTGACATTTTAAATGCGAATGTTATAATGTTGCCTTTTTTCAATTACTAATACTTAAAAAAAAAAGACAAAAAAGGCAAAGATCAAATTCCAAACACCAACACAACACACGCTTTATTTTTCCTCTCCGTTAATGGATTCTCCTTCCCACTCATTCATCGTTGATACAAGTTCAAAATTGTAAGTCAGCAGTTGATGCTGAGTTGGCATTTACAGTTGGAGGTTATGTTGACTATGCAGATGGTTAGCAAGTAGTTCATAGTTAGTTAGAATCAAGGTTAGATAGTTAACTCAGGTGATTAGTCTTGATTAATCTAATTGTTTCTTGTAATAAGCCCAAAAACATAACGGGATCGCTATGTAATCCTTCGTTGTTGATTGATGAATACAACAAGTTGAGCCTCTTTTCTCTTCTCTTGTTTTTCTTCCTTCCTGGGTTCTATCTTTTCCTTCCTTCTTGTTTCTCCTATTTCTGGCTCTATCAATTGGTATCAAGGCCATGATTGCTTGGACCTGTGGTGCTAATGGCTACACAAGAGTTGAGGCGAGAGTTTGTTGAATTCGAGAAGAAACATGATGCGGACATAGCAAATATCGACCTCAAGATGGTGTCTATGGAGAACACCTTAAAGACGTCAATCAAGAATACTAATACTTTGAGGGAGGAACTCACAAAGTTGATGCAAATAATCAACATTGGAAAGATTTCTTCGTCGGTGATCACCCAAACCTCCTAAGAACAATTGTAGCAACCAATTTGCTTGCACGGTAAGATTCCCTAAAAGCCGAAATACTATTGATCTTATAGCTAGTTTGATAAAGTTTGGTAAGGTGGATTTTCCTAGCAATGAAGGTGTTAGAGAATTTTAGGGGATGATTGTATAAGTGCAATATTAATGTTACATTTTTTTCAAAATTTTTCAGTTTTTTGTTTATTAATAAATGAAAAAGTATAATAGTCAATTAAAATAAAAAAGCATGACATTAATAATTGAGAATATGACAATAATATCATTCCATAGTTAAGAGAGAGAAAAAAGGACTTTTCTATGTTTGATTTTGTATGCATCCGAGTTCGAGATTTTTCTACCAACATTGTTGTTTTTTCATGCCTAGCTCCCTTCATATGAGTAGCTCTAATATTGTTGAAAAAAAATAAAGATTCACACTTTATTTAATTTTACAAATATCATACAATCACTATTCAAATTTAAATATTATTGTTTCATGCCTAGCTCCCTTCATATGAGTAGCTCTAATATTGTTGAAAAAAAATAAAAATTCACACTTTATTTAATTTTACAAATATTATATAATCA